AGAATTGGACCGTGAAATTTAATGCAGGAGACACAGATTTCTTACACGAGCTGGCTCGCCTGCGCGCTGGTCGAGCCACCCCAGCTGCGGCAGGTCAGCTCGCGATACTTGACGGACGTCGTGGTTGTCGGTGAGGCTTACAATTTGCGCTTGGTCCACGGCAGTCATCTTAAAGAGAAGAAACACGGACGGATGCAAATCCTTCGCCCCACTGACACTTGGTGGTACTGTAATGTCATGTCGAGACCTCAGTGGGGTCCGCCGCGCGCGATTTGGGAGGGGCGGCCTACCTTTGACGCACGCGCGCAACGGACGTTCTCCACGCGACGCAGTGTTTGGGGAGAAGATACCGGTCCCGTTAGTGTTTTGTTGAGACCGCCTCCTTGCTATATCATGCTTCGTATTTTTACCTAAAGTCGTTTGGAGCAAAACTGGAACAATGGTGGGTGACGCCACTACGTGGCTAGTAGATCTGGTACTAGGGTTCCCTTGGGTCCATCAAGTATTTCATCGCTGGCGACTGATTCGTGAGTATACTTGGGAAAGTAATTCTGTTCTCATTTTGGGTGTGTAACTTTTGTTTTGGTGAAAGCTGATGAGGACATTTGGTTAACATTTAACCACTCCAGCTGTCTAACATGTCGACCTAGTTTTGCAACAATGGCCACGATGGGACTTGCTGACCCATCCCTGATAACTGCTCTGGCTCATAAAAAAGTGCGGTAACGATTTCTCGGTGAATTCACATTCACTTGCCTGGTGAATTACTGCCAACTGGAAGGCAATGAAAGACCGAGCAAGTGTACGATAGCGCAGCGGTCAAACCTATTTCCTCTCTGTCTGTGAAGACGTTCGACGTCCCTTTTATCTGCAACAAACTAGATAGGATGAGAGGAGAGACAAGAACGACAGCAGTTCTTCCCACCTCCAACATGCCGAAAACTCCTCCTTGTTTGAGGACACGGTAGATCTCTTTCAAGCACTGTAATATAGAAGTTAGGATTGTGACTCAAATTTTTTATTTCGGCTGTAAGGCTCCTAAAGGTTATTGAAGCAACATGAAAAAAAAGTCCACAGTTTAGTGTTCTCAGTATAGATATAGGGTACACGGTTGGTAGTCCGTTCACAACGTGCAACCTATGCTATCTAGTTGTTCCGCACTGCGGCGAATCTTAGCTAGTTGTCTTGCGTCGCGGCCAGACACCTATCACCCTTGATGTGTTTCTACCAATCATGATGTGAACTTTTNTTCAAGCACTGTAATATAGAAGTTAGGATTGTGACTCAAATTTTTTATTTCGGCTGTAAGGCTCCTAAAGGTTATTGAAGCAACATGAAAAAAGTACACAGTTCAGTGTTCTCAGTATAGATATAGGGTACACAGTTGGTAGTCCGTTCACAACGTGCAACCAATGCTATCTAGTTGTTCCGCACTGCGGCGAATCTTAGCTAGTTGTCTTGCGTTGCGGCAAGACACTTATCACCCTTGATGTGTTTCTACCAATTCATGATGTGAACTTTTACCAGCTGTCTCTTAGGTGTCTTGCGACTTCTTGAAATGATCTATCGGCTGACAGCTTGGCATACAACCCTTTTCCCTAAAGGGATGTGGGAAGGGTGTATCAGTGATCCAAGACTTGAAGGGCTCACCAAATCGGGTCTCATCTGATCGTGACAGGCATCGATTACTGTGACCAGGTCGTATTTTTCCGTCCAATCATCATCCATTTTGCTAGCATTCATCTGTATGAAGGCCAGATTGTCGAACATCTGACCGTTGTCCGTTCTAAAACATTGCCTATTTAGATTTGTAAAGTTTATTAGCTTCGATTTAGGTCCACATAAAGAATTGAATTTCAGTGAAAAAAACAGTCCAATGGCAGGAGTAGTGAATAAGCGGAAAGTGGACACTTGCCTTTGTTGATTAGCCAGGTGAACTGCTTCCAAAGTGATGTCAATTCCGGTGAAATTGGACTTGGGGTAAGTTTGTGCTGAATACGAATTTATTAATCACGCAACTGACATTGAAACAAAAGTGACCACTGGCTTCTGAATCTAGGATGGAGTACATGTTACGGTGTCCTATCAGTTTTTCCATAGAGCACTCTGAAAGCGCACAGAATTCAGTGGTATCTACCCCACACGCTGCAAGTGAATCATTCATCAATGATAATTACAGATGATTTGCATAAATGGAGGAATCACACAAGTCACAGCATCATTTAGGCCTGAGGAGTGGGGTCCAAAAGGCTCGGTTTGTGTGGGCGCGCGGCAATTTTTTGCTAGTTGACCTGCACCGTCCGCACTCGAACAAGTTTTTAATACATGCTTCTGAAAGGCACAGCTCGCGATACTTTTAGAGTATCTGGCTCTAGATGAAGAACAGAAGTAGTAATATAGAATAGACCAAAGTGACAAAGAAAGTGAGGAAACCGGCGCATTTAGCGAAATATACGGTTCCAAAAAAAGTAAAAGTAGGGTTTGAACGAGAATGTGACGACAAAAATGGCATGAAAGGGGTATCGGACGAGCTATTCTAATGTGCACGCCATTGCATACAAATGGCTACAGTAAGCAGCTCTCGTGCTAGGTGTCGGTCCCGGGGCGAATGGTCTTAAGAGCTCGTCCGCTTTGTGTGTTACATCGGCCGACCATTTATCGATCCGAAAGCGTCCCTCGGGGTGTATGTCGTTTGGCGCGGTGGGAATTTGAGACGCTGGACTTAGATCTGATGTGAAACTCAGCAAAAATTCCCAATACAAATTTACAGAAGGTTTTCTTAGTTTCAAGCTCAGACTCTTCAATTGTTTGTTAATTTCCCCCGTACTGTTGGACTGTTGGTTCACATGAAAGGTAGAGTTACCTAAAAGAGCGGCATGGAAGCCATTACCACAGCCAACATCCAAGCACATCAGTTCTCCTTTATCCAAACGTTCCTGAAAAGTGGAAAAATAACAAAGTAGTGAGATACTGCCTGGTTCGTCTAACCCACTGGCATATCTGCTCCAAGAGCAGGAATTAAGTCGCTGATGAAGTGATTTTTGTGGTAAGCTTCACTGACTGATGATTGGGTTTCGTAAAAATCAGTAAAGTCCTCATAGGTGAGCCCTGAAAACTCAATTTCTCGCATACACATTACAGTTGTTAATGAGGAAGATGATTTTAGGGAGGTCTGGGTCCTAATACCTCTGATCGCTGTTCGTTAGAAGCTATTACCTTCTAGCATTCATCACCACAAGAAATCAAGAAATCGAAGTCAGGCGGTCCGGGCATTGATGGACTAGGGCGGTTACTGACTGGATTCTCTAAACGTTAAACGAACACCACGAACGCCAGGACGGCCGCCAGCTGGGTGGTCACAAACTTCTCCACGAAAGCGTTGAATGGAAGGGATGCTATGCCCCGTGTGCCTCGAGCAAGGACCTGATCCAGTGGACTCCTCTGACTCCCTACTGCGACGAATGGAGACGTTCTGGCGCCTGCTCAAGGGAATCGATGATCGACGGAACGCCAGGTGACAGCCCACAGGTGATTCTTTACCTACGATATGCTCACCACTTCGTTCTTGTGAATTTTATCGGTCTAAAGAAGGCGGTTAGGGAATTCCCGTCAAGTGTATGAGCGATGCATCATATACATGGGTAAATACCTACATCTACATATATGGCCACATTACTACACGGAGCAGTATATTACTAAGGATTGGACGCGGCTGGATTGGGTCAGAAATGAAGACGTCATGCAAACAGCCTCATTTCAACTAAAGATGAAAGAGCAGCGCCTGCGGTGGTTCGAGCATGAACTAATTGTAAGAAGACCGCAGACCCATCCGATAAGGGAGGCAATGGAGAGCTCAAGGTAGGCGACCACGAGGACACTCAAGGAAGAGATGGCGTGACGTGATCAAGAAGGACTTCGTCGAAGCCAAGGTGACGGCAGAGGATGCCGTAGATAGAATGATATGGAGACGGCTGACAAGAACAGCGAACCCTTCGACGGCGCGGGATTAACGCTACGGAGACGAAGAAGAAGAAGAATCTCTGGCAAACGCAGTGATATCAAGATAGAGCCTTTAAAAATTCTGAAATATCGAAACAAACCGTACCTAGTGGGCCTTCCGTTTTGAATACGTCACAAACTTTGTTGTAAGGCCCGAGAAGCAGAGGGAGGAACTGGTTGAATTGTACATCTAGCCCGCATGTCAGATCCTGGAAACAGAACACACTTTTTAAAAGGAAGCCGAAGAAAGCACACAAATCACTATTTTCAAAAGCTATGGCTTGGAAAAACTTGACTATGAAATCTAGACTTTCAGGGGCAAGCGAATAAGGCGAATATGCTGATGTCAAGCGTCAGCACGCTAGATATTTCGTGACTAAACCAAAGCCATAATCGCTTCCTCAGGGCCAAATACCTGCAACTTTGTTACGGTCATTCCTAGACCAAGGGAGAACCGATAGCAGTCTGAGCTGGTTTTTATTCTATTCTATGACGATGAATACAATCCCTTTTGGCCGCTGGGTAAAGTCGAGAATCTGACCGGACTGCGGCTAAAACGAAGGCAACCCGCTGAAACGTCACCCGAGCAGTGTCATCTACCAACTTCACAGAGTTCGTCCACGTTACACCTCACCTCCTAAGGCTGATTACGAAAGGTAAAACACTCGAAATAGGCAAATACCTCCCCAGGATACGCCACGCAACCCACTTCTGCGCAGGATTTCTATAGAATGTGAATGGGATTTTGGTCTGGAACATTAGTTCGTGGGAGTAAAAGCTAAGCCTCCCTCTGACTAAGGTAGACCATTGAGCTATTCAGGATTCAAGTTTGAATTTTATGTCATAGAAAAGGAAACAGCCGTTTTTTCTAAATCAAACCCCCTTATTATAAGTCTTTTTCTATAAACGTGCCTCGACATTCTCTTTGGGAATCCAGAACTTCTCATCTTTGTTTACTTCGATGACCTTACCCACTGCCATCGTCGATAGCCACTCCTTCACATACCTAGAACAAACTTTGAGGAAAGACATGAACTTCTTGGGGACAGAAGATTGTGTCACGGACTTTCCACCTGTGTTATGCACGAACAAAGGAGTGATTCACTTTATATAAATTTCCTTCTCTGAGGAAACTCCCAGAATATTCCAGAAAATTTAATCTGTCACATAATTTTTGGTATGTACTCTCTGGACATCCTAGCACCTCGTCCGATTTGGAGTGTAGGGAGGATGTGTGATTCAAGTCAAGGTGCTTATAGTTTAGTGACCTTCTGTTCGGCTATAATCCTTAAAGTTAGTAGAAGGTAATTAAATATCACAGTAGGATATAATAATAATAGAAAGTAATGATGCTATCTGGAGGGACCAGAAAGCGGTACAAGATTAGGTTGAGAAGCGTAGTCAAAGTGGTTTACAAGGTAAATTTTCAGCATTACGTCTCTGTGGCTAAGATATTCGACCAAACCCTTAAATCGCTCACCGCTCTTTGCATCCAGCCTTTTCGGCTACTTGCTTTGGCGTAGCTGGATTTTCTGCACTTCCAACACTGGCTAGCGCTTCAAACAGATGTAGTCGGCTGCCCAATGCGATTGAGGCCGATATCATTCCACTGATACAAATGTTCTGAATGACATTTTCTGAATTGTAGAATCTGATAGATAAAAGAGACTAATGAGACGTGAGGATCAAATGTGTGATGAGTAATGTCCCAAAAAAAAGGATTCGGCCTCTCAGGGTTTAGAGATCACAATGTCGGAAATCACGAAAATAAGGGACCACGTATTCTCTGGTCTGACGCTTTCGAGATAGCAGAAAGCAGAGGAAGATGTCCTCCCTAACTCTAAATTGACTAGATCTCCTTAGGCACGAATTTCATCAAAGTTCCGCTTACATAACTATCTGCTTGTTTAGTGTCTGAACTTTTTCAAGAAGGAAAATGCTTGAAGTCCAATGAAGGGTGATCCTGATTGAGTCAAATTATGGGAGTTCCTACAAATCTCCGCGAAAAACCTGGACTGTAATGAAGTTTTGGGCAAATACATTCCGTACAGCCCAATATTTTCCTCTTCGGTGGGCCCATATCCACGTGAACTTTCACTTCCAAGTCCAAGAATTTCATTACAGTAACAATGCTCTTTTGGGGACACATCCCCATCATGGTACCGTGACTCCCTTGCTTTAAAATTTTGGCATTGAATAAATTTCAATTTTGAAGTAAAACACAGCGTAAATATGTTATAAACAAATGATTTCTATTGGAATAGCACTTGTTTCTTCAAATTCAATGAGTATTTGACCTAATTCATCACAGTGAAGAATGTTTCACCGCCCGGATCAATGAACCAGATTCTTGTTAGTTTATTCACTCACCGTGAAGGGCATCGATTGGTCGACAAACATCACCTGACCGAAAACAACTCAATAAATAACTCACCTGTAATTGCTTTTGGAACTCGGTTTTTTCTGCCATTGCTGCTTCAGGGTGGCTATAAAGCTATCCTGAAAGACTCTTGATTTCATAGAAGGAATGAAATGTATGCGAAACGCATTGCAAGTAAGGAACGGAACACTGACAAAAACAGTAAAGAGAGAAACAAGTGAACAAACTGCGTTATTGACTGCACAACGATGTAACTACCCGAAGCACACTCCCACTTGAATCAACAGCCAACCTGCCACCTTCGCCCAGTAAATGAAAATATCGGAATATCAGATCAAAGGGCACAAATTAGTAATATACTAGTAACTGGAGGGTATTGGAAAGGTGCAGTAACAACTCGGGAGCAGAATGATTTGATGTTTTCCTTTCCCGACAGCTCCCTAACGCACCTTCAAAGCATCGATTATTGTCATTGAAGGAAGTAAAAACCTTGGTTCCAGACATAGCTGAAGGCACAGTAGTTTTCGTGATGCCCCTGAATACTCCGGTTGTTCCCCAGCAAAGAGCACCAAATCTACAGTTTAAGGCACTATGTTTAATTCGATTATAAGAAGGTATTCTATGAGCTTATTTTAAGCTATGAAGTGATCGCTGTGAACTCTGTAATAAGATAATCAGAATTCTCCCCGTCAGAAGGCTTTCTTGAGCCCCTCATCCGCTCAGATAATGCTGGACATAACTCATTCCCATGACAAGTTCGATGGAGCCTCAACAGCGCGATACTTATTCGAGAGCAAGTTATGAACTTGCGTACTGACATTGCATATTTTCCAGTAAAGAGTCCACCGCGGAATGGTGGCCATTTTCGTCCAGAATAGTTTATAGTGATACGAATTCCACTAATTGGACTGCATTTTCAAAATGCTACACAGTAAACAGTGGTTCGCAGGGAACCAGTTCGTGTTCGCTCGCCTACAGATTCATGTAGAAACCTACAACGGGGTTGTGGGCATGCTTGTAATAATGCCCTATGGAAGAAAAAGTGGTTGAAGACGTCATCAAAAGATTGGATCTTTGTGAGATATCAATTTTATATTCGTTTATAACATTAGCGCTGGGCAACGAGTCTACCCGTGCTAGACAACTTTTCTACAATGACTGATTAAAGGATCTGGGTGTGAGCCAGCCATATGAACAAATGATTTATTGCGAAGTTTAGATGTGATGTCAGTTTCTTTTTGGCTTAACGAAGAGACAAGCGACATGGATGCACTTTTTGGTCTTGAACTTCCTGTCGACAAATCCATTGCATCCATAGGAGGCACCAGCGCCTAGGGCAGCAATCTGAAAGTATTTTTGCGTGAATGCTTGGTTCGGCTGAAACCACTTTTGAGTAGGGCGAGTACGACTGAGAGGGTATTGTAATAAGGGAGCTAAGTTTTGCACTCCCACATTGGTGATACGACACCAAACACACTAGCGATGTCCATACACTCCAATCAAAACCAACCTTCCCACCCCTCAGAGTGTACAGCATCTTCCGAAGTAGAGCGTTGAGCGTTGTAGGGTTGACAACCCCGGTTGTCGACCCGCACGGGTCGGCTGTGATCAATTTCTTGATAGAGTGTTTATCGGCTGTGATATTCATTTTTCTTTTGCTTGGTAGATTTAATATTTCCTCCTTCGATTTCGCTACGGATGTGGCGAGAGTATATCATTCTGAACGAGCTCCACGCAGCTCCGCTTAGAAAATAACACGCTTTAACGCAAATATCGTCAGCGGCGGCGAGGACGCTCACCCCGCTTCGACGCCTTGCGTTCAACGCTCATCGCAGTACTCTAAAAGCGTTACACCAAACTCTTGTGCGAGGATAAAAGCACCAGGTTGCCTTCCCTCCCGCAAGTAATTACTTGCACAGGCGACATACGTACAATACACTTCTATTGTTCTGATTGGGGGGAAATGTGGTAGCGCATTCCTAAAAAAACGGAATTGATCCACCCCAAATCTTTGAGACTTTTACTAATTACTACCCCTCCATCCATCCTCTTATTTCGTTCTCTCACTTCCGCCTTGCAAAGCTCAGTGTGTTAAGACTAAATATATCCACAGAGTCCTTGACTCACTTTCTTCCCTTGTTTCTCGAAGGGTCCTGTGAAACTTGAAGTTATCTTTTCAAAATCGGCGTCTGGTCCCTCTTCGTCCTCTTTTGGGAAGCATCTAAACGCGAAGTGCACCAATAAAGGCTGAGGAGAATTTCGGAAATGAGCTCACTTTTTCCCTTTGACTTTCACGTTAGCTTTTACAGCCTTTTTTGGAGAATTAATCCATTCGAGTGCTTTATTGACAAGGTCTTCGCTCCAATCCTAAACGTGAGCACGGTATGTCGACGGAGCTTTTCAGCCGAACTGTACAAAAACGCTTACAAGATCGTCCTCGTAGTTTCTGCTAAGATCCATTAGTCCCTCTATCCCTGATGATGAGAGAGGCGTTTTGGATCCTGAAAAATAAGCCCTATCAAAGGTTCTGTTGACATTGGACTCTCTCGAGTGATCGCCTTCCTCGAAGACTAAATGCACTCACCTTGGGTGAAGGCAACTGGTACTAAGAGAGCCAGAGACGCCAAGATGAAGAACATTTTGTATGGGACAAACTCTGCTGGACACTGTTCCTATTTATAGATGCCAACTATGTACTTAAGCCCACCTGCTCGTGCGGGGGAAGATGGAATAAAAGCGTTGTTACATACGTCTACAAAAAGAACTTGGATATTACATGGTGTCTTATTCGAAAGAGGTCCCAGAAAACACATTTAATAACCCTGCTGTAACTCCTGCTGTGTATTTAAGTTCTCGGATCCGGATAATGGATCCAAAATGAACCAAAAGGGGAAATGCGTGTCGATTACGCGTGAACTCACCCTCTGTACAAGGTTAGCCTTCGACTGTGGCTTTTGAACTCGAGACAGTCGATTCTATGTCGCTCACGAAGGTGGATTGTGTCAGTCGGGGAAGGTACGGTACTTTTATCCACCTAGGAAAGAGTGATGACCGAGATGACTTCGGACTTATAGCAGGGTGTCGAAATGTTTGATGGGATGATTTCGCAGGTTCAATTTCATCCTTTCAGGCTAAGGAGAAGGCGGTTTTGTCGTAACGTAAGCCATCAAGGTATTGTGAACCTCGTGTGGAGTTACATATATCAATAAAGATAAGTCGAGTTATTTGACCCGGCAACACTTTACTTCGAATGTTCTCGTCTGAAATAAGACCTTTCTTCCCTAAGGAGTGATTTCAAGATTCATAAATCTTTTGTTTTAATGCCACCCCACCGAGCCTAATAGCAACGAACCTCCAATTCGAAAAATGTAAAGAGACCAGCACCCGATGAAGACGATCAGTAGCACAAGATTCGGACCTTGAACGAGCTCGAACCAGTACTTTGAATCCCAGTAATGTTTTCCAATAAGCGTTACCAGAAATCTCGAAATGCATCCCATTGATCATTCCCAGGATTAGACGCGATCCGTTTGAGTTGTTCAAGATCGAGAAAATTGTATTCAATAACGGACTATTTCATTCCGATTGCCCCACAATCGATAAATTGAGACTAGCAGGTCTCACAGCTGAACGGAACAGTGCAGCTTCACGGACTTTTCGAAGTTCGTGAAGTGGTTTTCTTTATGCTCATGGCCAAGTAGAGCGGAGTAGTGTAATGGCAAATGGGACACTATCACACCCGCATGGCCACGTGTTCGATTCCCGGATCGATACCTGCTTAGGCTAATCAAGCCTTCCATCCCTCCAGTGTCAGTTAATTGGTACCAGACTAGTCTGGGAGGGCGAAAGCACTGACTTGTACATCAGCTGGCCATGGGGGCCATATACGCATTCAATACGCCACTACGATTCTGAATGGAAGTCGAATGCGTGGGCGCATCTCTCCGACGGAACTGATTAACGCTCAAAGGCCATCCTTCATAATTCTCCAAGTCTTTGATGTTTATTACAAAAAGGTTTGTACTTTTTTACTAGTGGCAATTGATTGCTAGTAGCTCAAAGTGTAGATCTGCGAGAGCCGTGCTTCATCTTGCTCATAGTCTCGATGCTGAGCTAAGTAAACGTTGAATCAGCTAGCTGTTCGGGCAGAATATTGTTCTCGACATCATCGGCAGCTGACAACTCTGCAAACTACAACAAGCATAGCAGGCGTATACGGCAAATGTTTTCTTCAGAAGGACACTAAAGTGGAAGGGTAAAGTCGATGGAAGTTCCAGGCCGGCATTAGACCCTACACGTTTTCAAAAATTCTTTGAAATCAATTTCATCCCACGGTTGTTTGTTGAAAACACTCGACACATTAGAGCGAAACTCAAACCGGAGAGAATTCAATGCATTCCCGACCTCTTAAGCACTCGCGTATCAAGGCCAGGCGATGTGTCGATTGAATTTGTTCACAGCATTGTGGTCTCCCTTCAACTCTTTTTTTTTTACTGACATTGTTGGTCATCATTTTTTTCTGCTATTACAATGGAAACATTCATCTTATTTTATCGTGATCGATCATTTCGAAGATCGAGTTACGGTGCAGTTCTGCTTTGATAAATAATAATTATATTAAATCA